TCAGGGTTTCTACATCCCCCTTGGGAATTATTATTTTATTTTGTTTTTTTGTATAAAAACCCAAGAGGATATTCAAAAATATTCATGTTATTGAGGTTCTAAGGGGAGTATAGGTTTCTCTTGTTGATGACTTGGGATGTTCCCCCTTGTGCTGTTCGTATGAGGGAGAGCATCCCAAGTTCCTCTTGTTGAGGACCATTAAACCCTGAACAACCCTACACTTCCTACCTCCATGCAGGCTAAGCCCCTAGAACACTAAACAATTCTGAATACTTATCCCCTAGAGCCGAAACCCTGGCCCTCAAACCCCCCAAAACTGGGCCCCAGACGCCGGACCTTGAGCAGGAGGACGACGCGTCCAATCCTATGCTTCGTTTGATTAACCGCAAGTGGCGCGACATCGTCTGGGAGGCCGCCCCCAGACCCAAAACCCAAAACCCTGAAAACCCTAAACCTTATAAACTGAAAACCTTATAAACCTGTAAGCCCTATAAACCCTAAACCCCATAAACTGAAAACCCTGTAAACCCTACAAACCCTATAAACCCTATAACCCCTATGAACCCTGTAAACCCTAACCCCTAGAGGCTCTGCCCCAGATTGCCCCCGTGGGCAGCTTTGAATATTGGTTCGTTCTTTGCTTTGGGTTAGCAAGGGCATTTAATGGGGCTCTCTAAATTAGGATCCCGTCTTGGGAGTCCTTACTTTCAGGGTGCCGTACTATATAGAGGACCACAAAAAAGGTACCCTGAATTAGAGAACTACCCCAATTTTTGTTGCAACGGGGTTGAAAGGCCCTGAAAACCCCCTAGGTTTCGCATGTAGGGGTTCGGGGATCTCAAATCCATATTAGTAGCAGGGTTTAGGGTTTAGGGTTCAGGGTCACGATACTGGGGGTTTTCAAAGCACCAATGGGGGTGTGGGGGTCTAGCGATTTGAGGTTCCTAGAGAGTAAGGATAAAGAGGCTTTTTTGGGGGGGATGTGAAGAGAGTTGCTTATGTTTAAGCGCCCGCTGACCTTAGGACCATTGTAGGGTCACTTCATTCTGCGCACATGCGCCAGAACCCCAAATCCTGAACGCTTAAACCCTGGAACAACCTGAACCCCCGACACCCTGAGCCCTAACTCCCTAAACCCTAAACCTTAAACCCTAAACCCTAAACCCTAAACCTCAAACCCTAAGGAGCAGTCCCCAGCTGCCTCAGCTGATGCGCAGGCCCTGGACGACCCGAAAAGTAGTCGCGGCGCGTGGCTCATCTCCATGACCTTGACCCCCGGCTCTCTTGAGCAGACTGGTTTAGGGTTTAGGGCTAGGGTTTAGGGTTTAGGGTTTAGGGTTTAGGGCTTAGGGCTTAGGGCTTAGGGCTTAGGGCTTAGGGTTTAGCGTTTAGGGCTTAGGGCTTAGGGCTTCGGGCTTAGGGTGTTTCTGGAGGGATTTGGAGGCTCTCTTGAGCAGCCTGGTGTTCAGGGTGTGGGGTTTGGGGGTTAGGGTTTTAGGGTTTCTAGAGTTTTCGGGTCTAGGGCTTATGGTTGAGGATTTAGGGCGTTTCTGGGGGAATATGGATGCTTGCTGAGTCGTGTCCAGTGCTCGTCTCGCATTTTGTTCACTTGCGTAATCGCTGCCACGATGCCGCCCTCCCTAAACCCTACAACCCTAAACCGTAAATCCTGAATTCCTGAATCCGGGGGTTTGGGGGTTTGGGGGTTTGTAAGCTTGTAAGTTTAGGGCGTTAAGGGCTTCGTGCCCCCGTAAGATCCTCGTGAGCGGTTTAGGGTTCAGGGTTTAGGGTTCAGGGTTTAGGGCTTAATTAGGGTTTAGGGTTTAGGGTTTAGGGTTCAGGGTTCAGGGTTCAGGGTTTATCGCCCACCTACAGTCTCAAGCCCTCATCCCAGACGCCCTTAACCGCCCAAAACACCACAAACTCGGCCCCAAACCGCGAAACCCTAAACCCCTAAGCCCTACATCCCGATAAGCCCGAAGCCCTAAGCCTCGAAACCCTAAACCCTAAACCCTACACCTTGAAACCCCCAAACCCTGCACTTCCAGACGAGAGTTCACCTCAGGGGCTTCCCTGACTCAAGGGACCCCGACAGAAAGCGCATGAAACGGAACTGAGCAAATCAAGAGACCTTGCTGGTATGAGCAGGGTTTAGGGCTTGAGGGTTTAGGGTCTAGGACTTCGGTTTTCGGGTCTAGGGTCTAGGGGTTAGGGTTTAGGGTAATTAGCTTTTATCCTACCTACCTACCTACCTACCTACCCAACTACCCACCTACCTACCTACCTACCTACCTACCTACCTAGGTCTTATTGGAGTTTCCAGAGGATGAATAGTTAGGACTCTTCTTCAAAGGGCTAGAAGGGCCCATCCTAGTTACTATTGGCAGGGAATCAGGGAGCTAGGTAGTGTCTATCCTCCTCGAAAGCCCTAATCCCTAAACCCTAAACCCTAAACCCTAAACCCTAAACCCTAAACCCTAAACCCTAAACCCTACAAAGCCCTCCGCTACGAAGGAGATGCATCGTCTTGATGAGCTGGTTTGTGACGTTTCAGGAGGCCGGGTCTAAAGCATACCACCTTGAAGCCCAACAACCTGCACCCTGTAGGGTTTATGGGGTTTAGGGTTTAGGGTTTAGGGTTTAGGGTTTTAGGGTCCAGGGTCTAATTAGGGAACCTTCAAGCTTGCGTTTCGGTTTAAGGTTTAGGGTGTAGGGTTCAGGGTTTAGGGCTTAGGGTTTAGGGTTTAGGGTTTAGGGTTCAGGGTTTAGGGTTTAGGGTTCAGGGTTTATGTGCTTCGCAGGGATGTATGTGTGATTAAGCATTCTTTGGATTCGCGGTCTCTTTTCTCGCGCTAGGGCAAGGGCCCTAAGGCTTAATGCCTAAGCCCCAAAAATGTCAAGGGCTTAGAGTTGAGCACCCTAAACCCTGAACCCCAAACCCCAAACCCTAAACCCTTAACTTGCCCTAAACCCTAAACCCTAAACCCTAAACCCTAAACCCTAAACCCTAAACCCTAAACCCTAAACCCTAAACCCTTAACTTACCCTAAACCCTGACTCCCCTGTTAAGGTCAGCGAAGGGAAGCTGGTCTTGAGCAGGGTCTCCGCGGCCGCCCTCGAAACCACCATCGACTCCGTTTCTGGGTGTCAAGGAGCGTAAAGACTTAGTACTTTACACTTTTTTGGAGACTGTTATCCCTTATAGAAATGAAAGTTTATGAGCTCAGCAACTAAGAAGATCAGTTGCCAGTGTGTTCAGGGTGTAGGGTTTATAGGTTCAAAAGGAACTTTGAACATCAGCATGGGTAAGCACGTGTAAATGTCCTTATGGTCTTTTTTCAAGTACATACACAATTAACACATAGTGTGTATAAATATAAATGTAAATATAAATATAAGTATAAGTATAAATTTAATAATAAAATAAGTATAAGTATAAATCTAAATAATAAAATAAATAAAAAAATAGATAATTATGTATATATATATATATTAGCCATATATATATATCGAGACCGGGACGCTGTGGGAGTGCACTTTTTTCTATTTGTTTAAAGATATTTCAAAAACACTCTCACAGCGCAGCCGTATTTTATATAAACAGAATCACGAGTCATGCACAAAATGCAGCATACAAGTGCGCCAACACAAAGCAGCGATACGGTGTATGTCCTGTCCCCGTTTTCAAAATAAATCGGCCAACCTTATTGGAATCCTAGAAACAACAATAGGAATCCTCTATTTATATCCGTAGGAACCCTATTTTCAATTAATCGGAGCCGTAAAGTCAATAGGACGCCTCTTGAAATGAATTGGAGGCCCCCTCACAAAAAGATGAGAATCCTCGTAGAATTAATAGGAATCCTATTAAACTGAAGAGGAAGGAGCCCTACTACAATTAATACGAACCAATCGGACTCCTATAAAACATAAGGCGAACCCTTAGAAATACTAAAATGAACATGAGCCTAAACCAATAGGAACCCCTTTAAAGTGAATGAGATCCCTATTAAAATTAATACGAATCCCATTAACATGAACAAGAATCTGATGAAAATTGATAGGAATCTTATTACATGAGTAGGAGCCTTATTAAAATAATTCGGATCCTCTATTGAATTATCGGAACCAGATAACAGTTACTAGGACGGAAGCCTATTTAAATGAATAGGAACCCTTGACAAATCAAAAAGAACCCGGGTTACAATTCACATGAATCCTATTAAAACGAGAAGGAATCTTACTAAAATGAATAGGAACCAATAGGCCTGCAAAACAATAGAATCCTTGTACAAGAACAAATAGGAACCCTACTAAACTAATAATTATGAGCCTAATCCTTAAAATTGATCAAAACCCATTGCGAATCCCAGTAACATGAATAAGAACCCTGCTTAGATTGATAGGAACCTTATTACATTGGTAGGAGCCTTAGGGCGTGATGTCTTAAAATATGTTGCTAAGGTACGGTGTTTAGTATAGATTTTAGGTTTTGCTTATTGGGGGATGATTGCTTGATACATCCTAGCTAAGGTATAGTTTTTAGGACAGATGTCATGCTTTGCGTATTGGGGCGTGATTGATTATATGGAGGTTTTGGTACTCTCTCGAGATTTTGCAGGATTCGAGTTTGTTTTTTGGTACCTCCTCGAGAAATGGTGGCTGGGAGAGAGCCTCAGATCACGAAATTCATGGAAAACATTCGTTCTACCAATGTTGTTGAAAGATGGAGCCGAAAAAACATTGGTAAAACCGACGTTTTCCAAAAATCCATGATTTTCAAACCATGTGGCCGCGAGCACGAAATTCATGGATAACATTGGTTTTTACCAATGTTTTGAAGGATGGAGCCGAAAAAACGTCGGTAATGCCAATGTTTTCCAAAAAACCCATGCTTTTCAAACCATGTGGCTGGGAGCACGAAATTCATGGATAATATATCAACGTTGTTTAAATTTGTGCAAAGCAGGACCTAGAGAGAACCTTTCATCGCCCACCAGATGAGAGAAACACAGAATGCCATGTGCTTGATTGTCCAGGTTAGTGCTTTTGTCACGTACAAAAGGGCACTCAGAAATATAAAACACACACAAAACACAAATACCAAAAACAACTGTACAAAAAAAGCGTACGAAAATGAAATAACACCTAAAAGCCTAAAGAAAAAACCCAAAAAACACCCTTCAGAAGACACCGAAAAACCGTACAAAAGAAAATGGTACAGCAAAATCTCCAATAATACACAAAAGTCCTCGAAAAACCAAAAAAACCAAAAAAACCAAAAATACCAAAAAAACCAAAAAAACCAAAAAAACAAAAAAAACCAAAAAAAAACCAAAAAAACCAAAAAAACCAATCCTGAGAGACTCTTCCCAGGGGGTCCGGCTCCCCAACAGAGTCCCTCAGGATTGGTTTTTTTGTTTTTTTTGGTTTTTTTGGTTTTTTTGGTTTTTTTGGTTTTTTTGGTTCTCTTGCACAAGAATCCCCAAAAAACAAAAAAACAAGAAAAACCAATCCTGAGAGACTCTTCCCAGGGGGTCCGGCTCCCCAACAGAGTCCCTCAGGATTGTTTTATTCATTTTTTTTGGTTTTTTTGGTTTTCTTGTTTCTTTTTCATTATTTTTGTTTTTGTAGGGATTTTGTGTGTGTTTTTTCTTGTTGCACGTTTTTCGTGTGTTTTTAAAGTTTTTTTAAAAGTTTTGCGTGTTTTTTTGTGGAAAAAGTGCACTCCCACAGCGTCCCATTTTCTATATATATATATATATATATATATTAATCAAGCAGCAGGGCCTTAAAGTGGAAGCCGACCCAGGTCTTCACGCTTGAGGTGTGTCTGCGCGTGTTCTCGGCGCCCTCGAAGTATGCCTACATCCGGGACCTCTACAACTGGGCCGATATGGTGTGCTGCGTGGGCCTTTTTCTTCGCATAGGCATTGGCTTTATAACATGGCACCCTGGCTGGTTTTCCGAACTTTCTCTCGTTCTCTTTTCTCTTTTCTCTTTTCTCTTTTCCCTTTTCTCTTTTCTCTGTTCTCTTTTCTCTGTTCTCTTTTCTCTTTTCTCTTTTATCTTTTCTGTTTTCTCTTTTCTCTTTTCTCTTTTCTCTTTTCTCTTTTCTCCTTTCTCCTTTCTCCTTTCTCCTTTCTCTTTCTCTTTCTCTTTCTCTCTCTCTCTCTGTGCTAGGATTCCCTCAACCTAAACCTAAACCCTAAGCCCTAATTCCCCAGCTTTTGTGTTTGTGGTCCCTTTCTATGAACCCCAAAGAGCCCCAGCCCCGAAGCTCAATGCGGCCGTCTTCTCGGTTTCGGGCGTTTTCGGTGCCAGCACTAGGGGTTTTGGGGTTGAGGGGGTTAGGGTTTAGGGTTTAGGGTTAGGGTTTAGGGTTTAGGGTTTAGGGTTTAGGGTTTAGGGTTTAGGGTTTAGGGTTTAGGGTTTAGGGTCTGGTTTAGGGCAAAGTATAGGATTTGAAGGGGTTTAAGGGTTAGAGGTCCTTAGGGCGTGCTGGAACCTGAGGCACCACGACAGACCTGTTGAGATCTTCCTGCTCTTTGTGCTGCCAGTGCTGCGTCTGCTGAAGCTACTGAGATACTTCGAGTCCTTCAGGACCCACCCGACTAAACCCTAAACCCGAAACCCCAAACCCCAAACCCTAAACCATAAACCATAAACCCTAAACCCTAAACCCTAAACGCAGGGCGGGTCCGGGAATGGGGTCTGGGGAGCTGAATGTAAGAACCGGCCTCGGGCTCAGAAGACCCAAGAGCTCTCAGCCCTTAACAGTTTAGGGTCTTCACCCTAAACCCTAAACCCTAAACCCTAAACCCGAAACCCTAAACCCTAAACCCTAAACCCGAAACCCTAAACCCGAAACCCTCAGCCCTAAGCCCTAAGCCTTGCAAGTGGACGCGGTAGTGTGCATGACATTTTCCAAGCCGCCCAAAACAGTCCAGGAACGCCCAAAACTGCCCTTTATGGATTTTTTTCCGCTCGCTTGCGGCTTCGTGTTGCTGCTCCGCCAAGTTTAAAACCTCCTCCTCCTAGCAGCAGATCCTCTGTTGGTCTTAGCCAGGCGGCTGAAGCCAACATTTCTTAATAGCCTCACTTGGATTTCCTTAACGGGCCCAAGAGTCATCCCTAAGCTCTATACCCTGGACCCTGAACCCTACATCTCTAAACCCGCAACCCTACATCCCTAAACCTAAACCCTACATCCCTAAACCCTAAACAGTAATCCCAAGTATGGGGCCCTGATTCTAGGTCCCCCTGTCATACCTTAGAAACCATCCCATAGCCCTACTTGGAGGTTCATGGTACTTATAAACCACTTAGAAATGTACATATAACCCAAGCTATGACCACATTAGGGCACTTAAGGGGCTTATAATGGGTTATAAGTACAGTCTTAATTGGTTAGTAAGTACCCTGAACCCTAAACCCTAAACCCCAAACCCTAAACCCTAAAATAATTGGCTAATAAGTACCCTGAACCTCCAAGGAAGCCCTAAATCCCTTGCGAGGATCCTCGTGGATGCCGCGAGCAACGTCATCGCCTCCCTTCCTGTGTTGCTCTACGCGACTCAGCCTCGGATGGTAAAGGAGGTTGCGGTCAATTCTTGAGGTTTAGGCTCCAGAGTTTAGGGTTTAGGGTTTAGGGCTTAGGGCTTAGGGTTTAGACGTACGTAGTAGTCGGCCCTTGCAGTCTCAGCCCATCAGTGCGCGGCCTCTTGTGATGTGACGTTGGAACTTTCGGTACTTGGGGGACTTGATTCCTTGTGTTTTTTCGGTGGGCCCCGAAGTCATCCTTGAGTCTTAAGTGGGTGGGTTGTGCAGAGTTTAGGGTTTAGGGTTTAGGGTTTAGGGTTTAGGGTTTAGGGCTCAGGGTGTAGGATGCACTTTAGGGGTGCAGGCGTTGGAGCTTTTTGTCACTTTCTCTCTCTGACAAGTTAGGCAACTGTGGCCTTTTGCCTCGGTCAAGTCACATAGCATCCCGCCAACAGCTACCCATAGCCAAAAAGTCCTTGAGCCTTAAACCCTGAACTCCTTAGTTAAATGAACCTAGGTGTGCTTTTCGGATATTGTATATTCTCCTTATTTGGCTTTATAAGGGGCCCTATCTAGAAATATTCTTCAAAGAGTTGGCCAGAAACGCCCTAGGACATACCTTCATACCCTAAACCCTAAACCGCAGGGTACGTATATAGAAATCTGTATCTATGTTTCTATCCATCCTGTATATAAATGTATAGGCAAAAGTATTTATAAATACAATATGTATACATAGATATAGATAGAGACATGTGGGATAAGGAGCACGCGCGAATTCGATTTAAATCTGTTAGTGAGCTATGAACTTTTGAGCTCCATACATTTGCTGATTGCGCGTAGCACTGGCACGGCCTTAAATCAAGAGGCAGAGCGCCTCGAAAGTTTCTAGGACGTTTGGGAGCTGACTCGATTGCCAACCTGCCAGTCCCCCTCCGGTGCCAATCCGAAACTCTCCTGGAAGCTGGGTTCAGGGCTTAGGGTGTAGGGTTTCGGGTGTAGGGGCTAGGGTTTAGGGTTTAGCGCTCAAGGCTTTTAATGGCTCAAGTTAAGACAGGCTCAGGCATGTAGGGTGTAGGGCCTAGGGCTCCAGGAGAAGGCCCTACATGAGAACTTAAGGTTTAGGGTATAGGGTTTAGGATTTCGGGTTTAGGGTTTAGGGTTTAGGGTGTGCGCAACCTCTACGGCTCAGGTGATGCTCTTGCTGGTGATCATCTCCTCCAACGCGATCTTCCTAGCCGAGCCACTGAGGTTGATCTGGAACTCATTTTGCAAGAGTTTAGGGTTTAGGGTTTAGGGTTTAGGGTTTAGGGTTTAGGGTTTAGGGTGGGCCCCTCTGGGCCGTAAAGGCCCGAAACCCTGATCCCCAGACCTAGATCCTACTCCCTCCGCAAGTCCGAATCCCTGGGAACTAGCCCCTGAACCCTAGCCCTAAACCCTAAACCCTGAACCCTAAACCCTTAACCCTAAACCCTAAACCCCTAAACCCTAAACCCTGGGTCTGCTTTTGAAAGCCCCAAACCCAAGTCCGCTGCAGGTCGAGGGAGAACATCCCGAGCCTCCAGCACTCCGTTTGGTTGGCCGTGGTGGGACGAGGGGAGGGTTTAGGGTTTAGGGTTTAGGGTTTAGGGTTTAGGGTTTAGGGTTTAGGGTTTAGGGTTTGGGTTTTGGGTTTTGGGTTTTGGGTTTTGGGTTTTGGGTTTTGGGTTTTGGGTTTAGGGTTTAGGGTTTAGGGTTTAGGGTTGTGGCTTCTGGGTTCTGGTTTCTGGGTTCTGGGTTCTGGGTTCAGGTTTAGGGTGCAGGGTGCAGGGTTTAGGGTTTAGGGTTTAGGGTTTCCTGTTTAGGGTTTCGCGTTCAGTGTATAGGGCCCATGTTTCAGGGTAGGGTTTAGGGGGATTAGTACATTTTCATAATAAAGGATCTTTTGCTTTGAAAACGTGCACTGCCACTATCTTTGATGCATGCCAAAGATTGCACGGTTCATGTAGGTTAGCCCTGAACCCTCAGCAAACCCGTGAATCCCTAAACCCTCTACACCTTACCCCCAAGCAAACCCCATCCCACCCAAACCGACGGAGAACTACCCTTGAACCTTCCGGCGCTCAAGCGCGAACACCCAACCTTGAACATCTCAACCCTTCAAAGCCCCATATAAGTCTTGGGGCTCAGGGTTATGTAGGGTTTTTAGGGCAACCCTTGGGCCAAAACAACCCTAAAACCCGAAAAACCTAAAGCCCTGAAACCCTAGGGCTTTAGGGTATAGGGTTTAGGGAAAACCCTAAACCCTAAACCCTAAACCCTAAGCCCTAAACCCTAAACCCTAAACCCTAAACCCTAAACCCTAAACCCTAAACCCTAAACCCTAAACCCTAAACCCTAAACCCAGACATGGTGGTGCCAGGTCACCATGACGACGGTGGGTTATGGCGATTTCGCGCCGCAGTCTTTGCCTGGCTACATTGTCGCCTCTTGGGCTGGTGAGGGTGTAGGGTTTGGGGTTTAGGGTTTAGGGTTTAGGGTTTAGGGTTTAGCAAACTCCCATGTCCTCAACCCAAGCCTCTATTTCTACAAACCCCAAGCTTTGTCCTGTAGAATTCGGACAACAATGCCTAGAAAGACCCGAGTGTGCCAAAAGGGGAACGATGGCTCGCCCTAAACCCTACACCCTAAACCCTAAACCCTAAAAAAGTGGGGTTTAGGGGGTGTGCAGGAAGGGGGGTGGGAGGAGGGAGTTCGGTTGAGGGCATAGTCCTCTTTTTGGTAAGGATCCCTCATGCTGCGTTCCCCCAACCCTAAACCCTAAGCCCTAAACCTTAAACCCTAAACCCTAAACCCTAAACCCTAAACCCTAACACCCTGAACCCTGAACCCTGAACCCTGAACCCTGAACCCTGAAACCTAAACTGTGGGGCACACAGTTCACCAGAAGACCAGCCCAGGTCTCCTTCTTGTCGGTGGCCGCCTGCATCGCAACCGTCCTCTTTTCTGCTTGCGGGCTTCGGGTTGAGGATGTAGCACTAAACCCTAAACCCTAAACCCTAAACCTACTACCTACCAAACCCTGAACTCCAAGCCAAGAGCCCTACGTGCTACACTACACCCTAACACATCCCAAGCCTTCAACTTGGGATTCTCCCCCTTTTCCTAACAGCCCTTAAATAGGTTTAGGGTTTAGGGTTTAGGGTTTGGGGTTTAGGGTTTAGGGTTTAGAGTTTAGGGTTTGGAATGAAAGTGGCCCCTATTATCATCCTTATTAAGGACTGTTGGTATGAGGGGGGACATCCCAACCTTCAACCCTCAGCCGTCTAAAACCTAGCTTCCACCGAAGAGGGGCATGAGATCTTCAGCAGCCTACAGAATTAATGTAGGGTTTTAGGGTTTTAGGGTTTTAGGGTTTAGGGTTTAGGGTTTAGGGTCTTAGTTATGATTGCTATTTGGGCTTACTGCTCTTATTACCTTTCTCTTTCTGGTAAAACACCCTAAGCCCTAGGCCCTAACCCCAAACCCTAAACCCTGAAAATCTAGACTTGGTTGTTCAAAAATACTACTATCATGGCTCTTCTCTTTCTAGTAGAACACCTTAAGCTCGACCTAACCCACCCTAAAGCCTAGACCTTTAGACTTTGTTGTTCAAAACGGGCCTGTCATGTTGACCAAAAGATGCGCGCCCATGACCAGGTCAGCGTGATCTTCTTCGCCCCTCGGCCTTGGGGGTGTTTAGGGTTTATAAGGGAGTATGTCTGTTTATATGGGTTTATAAGGGTATATATGGGTTTATAAGAGTTTATGTTGGGTTTATAAGGGTTTATGAGGGTTTAGGGTTTAGGATTTAGGCGATCGAGTGAGGGTTTATCGAATCAAGGGTTCCCCAAAAAGCAGATTCCTTATAATAGTGATGTGGCTACTGGGGTACTAAGTTATGGGCGGGATTCTAGAGCAAGGATTATAGTACTTGAGGGGTGTAGAAGGCGTGCCACTTTTCTGGCAAGTTCCAAAAACGGCACGGCCTCAGCAGACAGGATAACGGGGAAGGCTTGCGTCGTATCACATCCACAACAAGCACGATAACCCATTCCTGATAGTGATGGTGATCATCACCATCCGGATCATCATCAAGTTAATGGCAATTGTGGTGATGACAAAGGTGATTGTCATGATGACGATGATGACGATGATGGCGATTGTGATGACGGTGCCAGTGATACTCACAATGAAGATGCTACTGATAGACGTCATATGACTCATTTAAAGAGCAAAAATGATGTCGACAATAAGCCAGCAAACACCACCATGGTACGAACCATGGGAATGATAACGATACTGGTACTGATTCGGAATGCAGCAGCGCAAAAAAGGAGAGAAAAGAGCATGAGATGAGGAAGACCAGAAACGCACCAAGGCCCTCCCAGTTGGTATTCTGGGTCACGAGTTCACCTTCTGCTGGCAAAGCCGCGAGCCACTCCAGCAGCAGCGGCGTTGGGGGATTTGGGGCTTTCGTCAAGGGTTTAGGGTTTAGGGTTTAGGGGGCTTGAAGGTGAGGGCTTTAGGTCAAAGCACAGAAAAGGGGGTTTATAGGGTTTGGACGGTTTCAAGGGTTTAGAGCGGTACAGGGTGGGTTTTTTTATTGGGTTTATCGGATAACCCTAAACCCGAAATCCTAAGTTTGTACGGGGTTTGTAGTACATAAGGGTTTATTGGGTTTACAGGGTCTATCGGGTTTAGGTGCGTGCGGGTGGCTGAGGCAGGTGCTCCTGCTCGCGCGAGCGCGAAGAGCTTTCGCGAAGTGGGGATGCTTGGCGCAGCCAAGGGTTTAATGTTTAGGGTTTAGGGTTTAGGGTTCAGGGTTCAGGGTTTAGGGTTTAGGGTTTAGGGTTCAGGGTTTAAGGCTTAGGGTTTAGGGTTCAGGGATTGTTTGTGTTTCAGTGCACATCTCTGCCTTAGTCCTCGTTACCGTTGGGGGGGCAAGAGCATGATTGGACTGTACGACGCAGCTCATCTGGCTTGAAGCCTCATGGGTGGCTTCTGAAGGAAGGACATTTGAGACTATTCCTTAAACCTGTAACCCTAAACCCCAAAGCCAAACCTTCTACATCTTCCTGCATCAAACGTGCTGCCGCTCCTTTGCTCCAACTTCGGTCAGACTGCGCGCTCAAGTCTTATTGTGAGAGTCTAGGCCTTGAGCCCTACACCCCGAATCCCCCAAACAAAAAAACCGCTAAATACCCTCGACCCCCTACATGCCCGAAGCCCTAAACCTTAAACCCTAAACCCTAAACCCTAAACCCTAAACCTTAAATGCCCTAAACCATTGGCCCTGGGTATGGGCCCTTACCCTTGTTTATAGGGAGCCGAAGTATCGGGCCCTTATTGTACATAGTGTAACAAAAAGGGGTTATATGACAGGGGACAAAAAGTAAGGGGCCATACTTGGAACCCTAAACCCTAAACCCTAAACCCTAAACCCTAAACCCTAAACCCTAAACCCTAAACCCTACAGTAAACCCCAGATACCAACGCTTTGAGGATACACCGCTTCCGACATGAAGACCCTCTTCGAGTTTGCGGACCAGGATACTGAGTTGGGTTGCGGGTTGGGGGGGTTGGGGGTTGAGGGTTGAGGATTCAGGTTCCGTTTGTTTCCGCATTTTTATTTGAATATTATTATCATTGTTATTATGATGATTATTATTATTCGTATTATGATTTTTTTCATTGATTAGATTTTTTGTTGTTTTTTTGGGGGGGAGGGGTGTTCCAGGTTCCTCAGAGTTTTTTGAGACAGCACACTCGATGCTGAAAAGGGATGTCTCAGGGTCGCCCTTTTTTGGGATTCTTCATTTCTTCGACACCAGCAAGCTCAGTACCAACTAAACGAGGTTTAGGGTTCAGGGCTCAGGGTTTAGGGTTTAGGGTTTAGGGTCCCTACCGTGCCAAGGTTACAGGCGATCCCAATGAAGGAGTTGTCATGTTTTTGGGCCAAGAAAGAGTTCTGTCGGCTGGTATACCACTGAAAGCCCTAAACACCCTGAACCCTACATTTTTATATTGTTTAGGGTTTATGATTTAGGGTTTGGGGTACACCGTATACCCACCCACCGAAAAAAAATCAACATGTATGTACACATGGGGGTTTTCGAAAATGAGGGGTCCTAAAATAGACTCCCAAATAGTAGGATCCCCTTATCCAAACGGACCCCAATAAGGATATCGTAAACCCCCATATACATACATACATACATACATACATACATACATACATACATACATACATACATACATACATACATACATACATACATACATACATACATACATACATACATACATACATACATACATACATACACACATATATATATATATATATATTTACATACATATACATATACATATACATATACATGTACATGTACATGTACATGTACATGTACATGTACATGTACACATACATATACACATACACATGCATATACATATACATATACATATACATATACATATACATATACATATATACATATATACATATATACATATATACATATATACATATATACATATATACATATACATATACATATACATTTGCTTAGGGCTGCTTGGGAATAATTTGTAGTTTTTGGGTACTGCAATTCCTAAGAAACAGCTGTTATTTTAAGGTTCCAAGTTAACCCTAAACCCTAAGCCCTAAACCCTAAACCCTAAACCCTAAGCCCTAAACCCTAAACCCCCTCCCAATATATACTTAACTCAAGCAACTGGGGGGCCGGCGAGGATGGCGATGGCAGCCTGAACCTCCTTGAGTTCTACGAGTTGCTGCACCAGCTCCCCAGACGCTTTGGGCGTGTAGTAGGGTTTAGGGTTTAGGGTTTCGGGTTTCGGGTTTCGGGTTTAGGGCGTGTAGGGTTTCGGGTTTAGGGGGGTATGGGGCTCTTTAGGGCACGGAGAGTTTAGGGTTCCACTGGTCTTTGGGGAGTGCTCAGAGTCTAGGGTTTGAAGAGCTCAAGGTTTATGACTTTTTTCGTAAAAAAGAAAAGACAAAGGTGTGCAGAGTTGAATTAGGGAGGGCTGCTATTCCGCTTAGGGGACAGTGCGAGTGTTGGTTAAGAATGTAAGAGGGTTAGGCCAGGGGCTCAGGTCCTTAACTAGAGAGACCCTACCCCCCCCCCCCCCCCAACAAAAACAAACATATACACGTATATACATATATATATATATATATACATATATACATATATATATATATATACACGTCCTGATTGCTGAAGAAGAGACCTCATTTCTGAGCTCCCACATGATCAACCCGAAGACCGAAACCCTGGGCCCTAAAGGGTTTAGGGTTTAGGGTTTAGGGTTTAGGGTTTAGGGTTTAGGGAACCCTCAACCCTCAACCTTTGTTCTGAAGGCTACGGTTGGGGCTGGACGAGCGGAGCCTGGTCGACCTGTTCATGATGGCTGCTTGGAAGGGCACCCCAGAACTGCTTTTCAGTCGGGTTTAGGGTTTAGGGTTTAGGGTTTAGGGTTGTGACTTCCTAACCCTTAAACCCTAAACCCTAAACGCCCTAAACCCTCTTAAGCCCTCAAAGCCCTAAAAGCCCTATAACCCGAAACCCTACACCCTACACCCCAAACCCTACAACCAACCACCCTAAACCCGAAACCCGAAAACCCGAAACCCTAAACCCTAAACCCTCTTTTTGAGGTGGACCGGGATGGCAGCGGGAGTGTGGATGGGATGGAGCTCCTGGCCAAAATCTTCCCGGAGGACAGTTTAGGGTTTAGGGTTTAGGGTTTAGGGTTTAGGGTTTAGGGTTTAGGGTTTAGGGTTTAGGGTTTGGGGCTTAGGGTTTAGGGTTTAGGGTTTAGGGTTTAGGGTCCCTCGAAATCCCCCAAAACCTTCCCGGAGGAGGTCCACAAAGACTCCGACCAGTTTGACGACAGCATTGACGCTTAGTGTGTGGATCTTGGGGCTTAAGAGTCTTAAAGGGTTTAGGGTTTAGGGAGTTTAGGGTTTAGGGTTTAGGGTTTAGGGTTTAGGGTCTAGGCAACTTCGGGTCGTAATTCGCGACCGTCGCCGTCGGTCTGCGCATCGGTGGACCCTGGGCTTTGCGAAGCACTGCCAGTGGAATTGTGCATACAGATGGAAGTCAGCCCTTACAGGGTTTAGGGTTTAGGGTTTAGGGTTTAGGGTTTGGGGTTTGGAGTTTGGGGTTCAACCCTATCTCCCAAACACCACATCTTACCCACCTCACAATCCCAAGCAACCAGTCGCAAGTCATCAAGCCCCAGATCAAGAGAACCTCTGGGGCATCTCCCCAACGTCCCCCAAAAGACCATGCCCTCAGCCTTAAACAGTAGCCCCTAAATCCGAACCCCGAACCCCAGAATCCTAGTCAGAGCGAGGTACCCCCGAATCTTCGGGAAGCCCGAAATACAGGGGCCCTTATGTTCGACTCTCTGGTGCTTTGCTGTAACTTCAGATCCTTAGCCTTTTTTTGGGTTTATAGGGTTTCTTAGTAAGGCAGCCGAAAATTCAGTTTTATAGTTTTATAGCTACCCTGCTAAGTGCAGCCAAGATCAAGATAAGGTGGATTTTCGCCTCTGAAAAGGTGAAGGAGCTCCCCATTTGATGCACAGCTCAGGAGCCCAGATCTTCCCACATAGCTTGTCAGGAATATACCACAAAACTATCATAAGGACCCCCCCCCCCCCCCCCCCCCCCCCCCCCCCCCCCGTCCCCCATGCGATTTAGGGAGCACTTTTGCAGCCACCCGAAGTTCGGCATTTCGGCACCTTCTATATATCCCCGAAGTTGTAACCCACTCAGGGGAAACCCTGAACCCTGAGCCCGAAGCTCTAAGCCCTCGACGAGACGAAGCTCTGTTCGAAGACCTGGGCATGGTGCACAGAGAGTTTCTTAAGCCACCCTCGTTTCTTAGGCCGCCTCGTGGTGAACACCGGGTTTATGCGACGAACCTGCAGCGGACCCATCCCCAAGAACCAAACCAGGATCCTGAATAAAGCAGTCCAGGGTTTAGGGTTTAGGGTTTAGGGCTTAGGGTTTAGGGCTTAGGGCTTAGGGTTTAGGGTTTAGGGTCGAAGTTGGGGTCGTGTGTGCAGGGTTTCGCTCGGGTTTGGAGTTTTGGGGGTTTGCGGGTCACTTCTAGGGCCTACAGAGTATAGAAGCCCTAAACCCTAAAGTTCAGGGTGTAAAAATCGGGTGCTTGGAGTCTACGCCTTAGCCTTGGTGAACTCAACATGCCCACAGCTCCGCTTGTTATAAGAGCGGTAGAACAGAAGCTCAGCACGCAGTCCGTATGCGTGAAGCATGTACATCTGTCTGGTGCTTTTCATTTACTTTACCTTCCCTTGCCCTTACCTTACCTTGCATTGCGTATGCAGCAGGGCGCGCCTCTTCTTGTGGGAGCAGCCTTCAAAGTGACTCGGGAATCAACGTTCCCGCGAGCAGCCAAGTACAACAGCGCCCACCCCCCGCTGCCGAAGGCAGCGGGGCCCTCGGCGCGAAGAGCGATGCAGTTGGCACGCCACGGTGCAAAAAGTAGCCTCGCGCCGTCATGAATTTGGGGCTCAGAGTTTAGGGGCTTTAGGGTGAGAATCCTAAACCCTAAACCCTAGAACCACGCCTTGGCCCCGAAAGAAAGTATGGGGTTTACAGACGTGTAGTAGGGTTTTGCAGGGCTTTATAGCGTTTAGGTTTTAGGGTTTAATTGTAGGGTTTCATAGGGTCTTGGGGTCTGGGTCGTGGCTTCGGGTTTTTGGCACTAAGCCACGCGAGCCGAATAACCCGTAGCTTACCGTAGCTTAGTTTAGTCGGGTTGTTCAGGCAAATGCGGGGTCTTATAAGGGCAATATAAGAACTATCAAGAACCTTACTCATAGTTTAAGGGAGATGCCGCAGTTAGGTTGTTTTGTGTTTAAGGGGTTTATACCGTTCATTGAGTTGACATAGGGTGAACCGAGTTTCTACGCGTTGCAAGGCTTTTTAGCGTTCATAGGGCTTAGCGATCTAGTGCCGCCAGCCCCTTGCGCGCCACAATGAAACAATGAAACCCTGCCTGAAGAACCCAAAGCCTGCTTCCTCGCACGTTCTTCTCATAAAGCGCCTGGTAGGATTCTGCGTTAACCTGCAATAGAGTGCTCGCTTTGGGTTCCACAAGTAAAGCCCCTAGACTAGACCCTAAACCCTAAACCCTAAACCCTAAACCCTAAACCCTAAACCCTAAAACCCTAAACCCAAAACCCTAAACCTTTCAGAGCCTCAACCGAAACCCGCAGGCCCCAGCTGGCGACTCCTCCACCATGGCCGACGTGGCGCAGCTGCGGGGCGTGAGGGGCCGGGAGCCCGAATCAGGGCCACCCCAAACCCCAAACCCCAAACCCCAAACCCCAAACCCCAAACCCCAAACCCTAAACCCTAAACCCTAAACCCCAAACCCCAAACCCTAAACCCTAAACCCTAAACCCTACACTTCCTATCGCTTTGGGAGTTCAAGAGGTCTCACGATTCTCTGGGTCAACACTTTGCCTTACTACTGTTTTGTTGGGGAGGGGGTTTAACCCCTAAAACCTCTTCTTGCAGAGCCTTAACACCTGAGACCCTAAACCCCAAAAAACCCTAAACCCTACTTAAGCCCTAAACCTTAAAGCCCCCGAAACCTCACAACCCGTTTAACACCTAACTCCCTAACCCCCCCCCCCCCCTAACCCCCTCAACCCTAATCCCAAACCCCCCCCCCCCCCCCCCCCCCAAAAAAAAAAAAGCACGCCGCTAAGGTGCTGCGGAGGCCGACGCGGCCTCGGGGGCCCTGGGTGGTGCTTCAGTCCATGTGGGGCCGCCTGTGCCGCAGATAGGGGTTTGGGGCTTTAAGGTTCAGGGTTTACGGTTCAGGTTTAGGGGTTTGGCTTTGGGGTTTGTGGTTTGGGGTTTAGGGTTTGGGGTCTTTTGGGCTATGCAGTGCCTAGGTTGTTTAGGGGCGGAATTGGGTGGTTTTCGCCGTTTGGGTGGTTTGCACCGTTACGGGGAGCTTCAGGGTGTGGGGTCAAACACGCATACGCTTCGGCTGGATCTGGAGGGTTTATGTAGGTGTTTTGTCTCCGAAAGGTCGCCACATCAAGCCCAAACCCTTTCAGTGTTTTTTTTGAGGAGGGGGGGGGGGGGTCCTGTGCTGCGGATGTTTTTTTTTGCTTCTCCCATTTTGGCGTGCTTTGGGGGTGGGACCCTCGTTGAACCGGTCGTTGGTGCGGGGGGGGGGGGGGGGGATTTCAAGCTTTTGCTGTTGGGGTTGAATATACGACCACGAAAACAAACCTCCTAAGCCGAAACGCTCCAAAGGCGCTTGCTCTAGTTCCGGCCGCTACTGAAATCAGCTTAGTCTACACACCCGTGCAGCACCACGACTCCCCTTCGGTTGCAGGGCCCCGAACCCTGAGGCCCTAAACCCTGAAACCTTCAAACCCAGCCCTAAACCCCACCTAAACCCGGACCTCAGACCAAAACCCGCTGAGGAGCAGCATGGAAGATGAGACGCCCACACAGGACCGGCAATTCGAAGGGCGATAGGTACGTAGTCGTAGTTAGGGTTCTGGGTTTAGGGTCAACGGGGCTGTTCTCTGTGAGTTCAGGCTAGAGTACAAGTGGCCTTACTGCATCACTTCACGTCCGGCTACCCTTGAACCACATTGAACCCTTATAAGTCCTAAACCCTACACCCTAAACCCGAAACCCTAAACCCGGAACCTCAAACCTAAAGAAGCCGTTAGGCTCCCCAATCTCGCCCTTCCCAAGACCCGAAACCCTGGACCCCAAACCCGAAACCCTAAACCCTAAAACCTAAACCCTAAAACCCTAAACCCTGAACCCTGAACCTTGAAACCCTGAACCCCTCCGCCTCCTGGCAACCCCTTCCGCTCGGCTCTCGAGGATGCGGATGCTGCTGCCGGTGCGGTTGGGCTCCACAGAAGGGCCTGGCGAGTGCCGGGTTTCTGGGGGAGGGGTTTGGGGGGTTTAGGGTTTGGGTGGGTTTAGGGTTTAGGGTTTAGGGTTTAGGGTTTAGGGTTTAGGGTTTAGGGTTTAGGGTTTAGGGTTTAGGGTCTAGGGTTTAGGGTTTAGGGTTTAGGGTTTAGGGTTTAGGGTTTAGGGTTTAGGGTTTAGGGTTTAGGGTTTAGGGTTTAGGGTTTAGGGTTTAGGGTTTAGGGTTTAGGGTTTAGGGTTTAGGGTTTAGGGGTAAGGTAAGGCAGATTCGGACTTAGGGTGCGGGATAGGGGCCCTTTAACATGGTCCCTTACCTTTCAATTTCTAAAAGGGACACTGACGTGTGGGCCCTTGGGTTGTATGGGGTATATAAGCCCATGCTAGGGGATCATGCAACTCCCCTGCCCTAAACCCTAAACCCTAAACCCTAAACCCTAAACCCTTAACCCTTAACCCTTAACCCTAAACCCTAAACCCGAAACCCTAAACCCTAAACCCTAAACCCTTAGAGATAAACCCTCAACTTGCACCTTCCACGGCGGAACTGCCAAACGGACCATGATCTCCTACACCCTGCGCCCGAAGCCCTAAACCCCTAACACTCCCTACCCCAAGCGCTAAGCCCTACGCCCTAAGCCCTAAGCCCTAAACCCTAAACCCTAAACCCTAAACCCTAAACCCTGGCTAAAAGCCTAAGTTAAACCTAAGCTCTACACCCGGAAGCCTCGGCAAGCACCAAAGCAGCGCGAAGCCGTCATGGCTTGGGGCTTAGGGGCTTAGGGGTTTAGGGTTTAGGGTTTAGGGTTTAGGGTTTAGGGTTTAGGGTTTAGGGTTTAGGGTTTAGGGTTTGGGGTTTGGGGTTTTAGGGTTTTGGGGTTTAGGGTGTAGCCTTTACAAGCCAAAGGGTTTTGGAGTTCGGATTTGGGGCAGCATCTTTCAGGACCCCGAGCTTCGAGTTGCTTTGCCAAAAATGTGGATCAGGGTGTGTTGCTTTGGGATTAGGGCTTAGGGCCTAGGGTTTAGGGTTTAGGGCTTAGGGCTTAGGGTTTAGGGTTCGGGGTTTAGGGTTTAGGGTTTAGGGTTCACGGGCCCATGCAACTGTGCTGTATTGTAGAGTCCATTGAGTAGGCTGAGGGTTAGCAGCAGGTGTCTTGGACCTAAACATCAATTGGAACCCCAAACCCCAAACCCTAAACCCCAAACCCTAAACCCCAAACCCCAAACCCTAAACCCTAAACCCTAAACCCCCGAAGGCCTCCCTGCAGCATCCCCTGTCCCATAGACAAGCTGCCAAACACAAGGCATCCGGTCTCGCAAGATCGCAAGGCCGCCTCTTCCGGAAGCTTCGAGTTTCGTTTAGGGTTTAGGGTTGAGGGTTGAGGGTTGAGGGTTTAGGGTTTAGGCTTTAGGTTTAAACAACCCTAAACCCGAGACCCTAAACCCCAAAATTTCGAGGGCTACTACTTCAAGGCTCAGAAGGTTCAGCTCAGGTGCCTTAGAGGGTCCGCGGTTTCGAAAAGTTGTTTCGGATCCATACAGGGTTCGTTTTTTTTTTATGAATCTGTTTGGGGGCGGGGGTAGAGAAGCTAGCCCTTCCTTACACCCTAAACCCCAGACCCTAAACCCTAAACCCTTATTATAACATTATAACAAAAACCCCCCAAGCCTCAACAGGTTTGTGTGGCGCGTAGCGAAGGAAGCCCTCCGCGCCGCTGCAAGGGCCCCCCTAAGGCCCACGAAAACCTTTCATGGGTGCCTCGGATCTTAAACCCTAGACTCGAAACCCTAAACCCTAAACCCTAAACCCTAAACCCTAAACCCTAAACCCTGTCACCCCAAGTATAAGTCTACTACTACTTCGAACCTACTTAGGGGACTCAGGCGCCTTGGAAGTACAGTTACAGCTGGAGTCACGAGGGGTAAGGGTTTAGGGTTTAGGGTTTAGGCTTCAGGCTCTAGGCTTTGTACCCGAACCTAAACCCTAAACCCTAAACCCTACCCCTAAACCCTAAACCCTAAACCCTAAACTCTGAAGCCCCAACAGCACAAACATCGATGCCCAGAGCACCTGGCGCTGACAACCTGGAGGGGCCCTGAAGGCATGGAGAGCCCCCAAACCGCTCAGCTCCTCTGGGTGTTGGGCCTTAGGGTTTAGGGTTTAGGGTTTAGGGTTTAGGGTTAGGTTTTCGGGTTGAGGGTTTTGGGCCTAGGGCCTGTGGGCTGCTGCGTTCGAATCAAGGTGTCAGCGCCACCGACTTCAACTCACCTACGTACTGTATTTTGGGGCAGGGCGTGGGGTTATGTAAAGCCCTACTGTGCTCAATGTACATGCGGCCCTACGCTTTCGCCCTGCAGCCTAAGCCCTAAGAGTGAAAGCTCTGGCCTTAAACCGGGTTTAGCGTTTAGGCTTTGGGGTTTAGGGTTTAGGGTTTGGGGTTTGGGGTTTGGGGTTTGAACCGCTGGCAGGTAGCCAGCCAGAGGCCAAACGGCCTAGACACTGACCTGGACTTTTCGCCGCCCTTGGCTCAGGGTTTTAGCAGGGTTTGGGGCTTCTGGGGTTTAAGGTTTAGTAGTTTGTGGTTTAGGGCTTTTCGGGTTTACATTTAAGAGCCTCCGGCTCGAGCTGCCGACCCCGCAGGAGAACAGGGTGTAGGGTTTAGGGCTTAGCGTCCAACCTAGACCCTAAGGCACTAGGTGTCTGATTTAGGGTTTAGGGATTAGGGGTTAGGCGTAAGCCTCCCCTCCCCTTCAGCGTCCGGGAGGACTGGGGTCCCACAAAGTTGGAGGTCGCGAAGTTTAGTTGAAAGGGTAGAGGAATAAAGGAGGAGAAGAAGCGTGTCAAGTCCCAGGGAGGTTCCAGGGGGTTCCAGGGGAGGTTCCACAAAAAGCAGGGCTCTGCGAGGGGTTAGGAGGGCCTTGCGTTCTGTCGGGGAAAAGAGGAGGTGCAAGTCCGAACCCATCCAGCACGCTGCCAGCTCGACCTCGATGGTGCAAGCCGACCCAGGTCGTTCGCCCGCCAGCTCGGAGGTCGGTGGCATTCACGATGGGCCGGTACCGGAGCACTTTCTCCTCGAGACCAGTACTGCTCCCATTAGAGTCATCATCCTAAACCCCAACATCCAGGCTCCGTGCCCCAAGGGCCCCAGCCCAGGGGCCCCGGACCCCTAGGGATGTCCCTGGACTCGCCTCTGCCTTCCCATGCTGGATGAAACCCTTACAGAGGCCCCCGCTACCTGTCTGGCCCCCCTGAAACCCCCTGACACGAGACGCCCGAGACGCCTGCGACAGAAGAAGGGCGGTTGGCTTGAGTTTAGGCCTAAACCCTGGAAGGAATAGGTTTGGGTCGTTTTGCCGCCTGCGGCGGCGTGGGGTTGGAGAAAGGTGTTAGGGTGGCCCTCCACGATCGGTCCTGGTTTGCCCCTGGAGCTTGGGGATTTCAGCTTAGAGGTTTAAGACTTGAGGGTGCATGGGTCTAAGGTGTTTAGGCCCTAAACCCCAAGCCCGACGAAGCATCCTCCACTAGGATTTGAAATAGGGTTTCGGATTTGGGGATTAGGGTTTAGGGTTTAGGGGTTTAGGGTTCCGGGCTTGCGAAACCCTAGGCGCTCAGCCATGCATGAGTGATCTAAGGTCTTGCCGGCCGTGCGCCAGAGACAGCGCATCCGCAGCCAGAAAACCTTCTGGCGCGAGTGATTTGGGGTTTGGCGGTTTAGGGTTTAGGGTTTAGGGTTTGAAGTGTTAAGGCCTCATGGTTGTGTAGAGGGCTCACGAAGCCTTCACCCTTAAGTCAACTTTTTTGTCCTTTTCAACCTTAATCCCTAAACTCTACACCCTAAACCCTGAACCCTAAGCCCTGAACCCTAAACCCTGAACACTCCTTCGGGTTGAGGTTTTGGGGAAGGCAGCGGGTAGGGTTCAGGGTTTAGGGTTTAGAGTTTAGGGTTTAGGGTTTAGGGTTTAGGGTTCAGGGTTTAGGGTTCAGGGTTTAGAGTTTCGGGTTTAGGGCTTAGGCTTCGGGCTTAGGGTTTACAAGTTAGGGGTAAGGTTTCAGGGTTGAGGGTACAGGGCTCAGGGGCAAAACTTAACATCGCTCGTGTTTTATGTGGGGGAGGGGCCTCTTCTGCCCACTACACCCTATACCCTATACCCTAAACCCTAAACCCTAAACCCTAAGCCCTAAGCCCTAAACCCTAAACCCTACACCCTACACCGCAGTTTTGGCTGAAGCTCCCCAGCCACCCTTTCTCCGTATCAACAGTGAAACTGGTCAGGCACCTGGTACTCTGGTCAGTTTCCCTTTGTTGGGTTTAAGTGGAGAACATGTTCAACCCTAAGCCTTAAGTCCGAAACCCTAAATCCTAAACCCTAAACCCTAAACCTTAAACCCTAAACCCAAAGAGGGGTCATCCGAGGAATCATGGCCCGGATTTTCCGGGCCGCGGTCGCTGCCGGCTTTTGCGGCTTAGTTTGCCAAGAGTTGAACTTCAAATTTCTAGGGTTTAGGGTTTGGGGTTTGGGGTTTAGGGTTAGGAATATTCAATAATCAAGTTTTAACCTTGTTTCCCCTTGGTTATTGGAGAAGCGAGGTGCTGGCAGCCTGGGGCACGCCGTCGAGGCGGACTGTAAGGGGGAGGAATCCCCGGGCCTGGCCTTCATCCAGGCAGCTTGTTGAGGGTTTAAGGTTTAGGGTTTAGGGTTAAGGGTTTCGGGTTTAGGGTTTAGGGTTGCTGAATCGCCAATGGTTGAACTTTACAGACTGTTGAGGGGTGAGCCTCTTAATTCCCTTGGCTCTTTTGGGACTAAAGGAGGGACCCTTGTAAGGGACCTTAGGGTCTTTTTTGAGATATAGGGGCTAATAATAAGGTGGCTATAGGGGCTATATAGGGGGAATAAGATTGAGGGTCCCTTGGGATATAGGGGCTAAATAATAAGGTGGCTATAGGGGCTGTATAGGGGGATAAGATTGAGGGTCCCTTGGGATATAGGGGCTAAAGAATAAGGTGTATATTGGGGTTATATAGGGGAAATAAGATTGAGGGTACCTTCCAGGGGTCCTTCCTCCTACCCCCCAACTGGCTCTTGGACAAGTCAGGCAAAGGCACTCGCACGAGACGGCGCCATCGCGAAGAAGGAGCTTGAGTATTCTTGGGCTTCCGGTCGCGGAAACTTCCCCAACTATGGTGTGGCTAAGGACCCGGCGCCCTTCGATCTCCCAAAGCGGTTTGCTTGGAGTTGGTCCTTTCCCCTCGGAAGGTTCAAAGTCTTGACGTACGGCACTGCCATCGACCACCTGAGGAACGTCTACCTTAGTGGAGCAGATGGGGTCCGGAAGTTTGATTCGAGTGGCGAGCTGTTGTGGCAGTACGCGTCGCTGCCTGCTGAAATGATGGATGCCCCTTCCCTGCTTAATGGGAGGCTCTACGGAAGCGACACGCACGGGAACGTGGTCGCCCTGGACATGGACGATGGGCAGGTTCGGTGGAAGGAGCAGGTTTCCGCCCGCATCTGCCAGGACAACGGCTTCACCATGGCCAAGGATGGTGTGGTCCTTGCAGCCAGCGATTGTCGCGAGCCCTCCCCCAACGGAGAGGCCAACCACTTGGTCAAGGCCCTGAATGCTAGCTCCGGTAAGCAGCTCTGGACCTATGCACCCGACACCGCTGTTTGGAACTTCCTGCCCCTTTTTGTAGACGAGGGCGACTTCGTATTTCAGGATATGACCGGCAAGGTCTATAGGCTGGATCTGCACACCGGCCACGTGATTTGGAAGAGTGGCGGCAAGGAAGGCACGTGGACAGATGGCAGCGCAGCGGTGGGCAATGGGATGGTTCCTTGGGGAACTACATGAACCCTCAAAGGGTTTATGGTTCACATACCCTGATAATCCTAATAGGAATTATAATCATCAGAGTATATGACCCCAAGTTTAGGTTTTAGGGTTTAGGGTTTAGGGTTTAGGGTTTAGGGTTCATTTCGTCCCCAAGGTTTTTGCAGTGAACAACAACCACCCGCCCGGAGTGGCCAGCGAGTACCTCCCTGGCACCCTTAGTGCCCTGGGGACGGTGTGAAGTCAAATTTGGGATTGCATACCCAGGGTTTAGGGTTTAGGGCTAGGGTGCATGTATCTTTGTGGTGCTTTACTGTATCTTTAGATCCTTAGCCTTTTCGGGTTTATTGGGTTTCTTAGTAAGGCAGCTAAAAGTTTAATTTATAGCTAGCCTCCTAAGTGCAGCCAAGGTATATGCTATGTGCATAATCTACATGCATGTTTCGTATGTGCCGAAATTCAGAAGATGAAGAACAGTTATATACCTGTGCTAAGCCCCCCTCACGTACCCCTTGTTCATGACAGCATGAGAAAAGGGTGTCTCCCAAATGCACAACTGCTAGCCCTAAACCCGAAACCCTTGGTAGTAAGCAGTTGAAGTTCTCCATGACATGCAGCACCAAGATGCAGGTCGACGTAGTGCAAGGTACCTTGGGAGCGAAAGCCTGCAACTCCATGACGCAGACGTGGGGTTCGAGGGATACAGATGTAGATAAACATATACATCTACATGTACGTCCTGACACTCATCTAGAGTTTTTTGCATGTCGATAGATGCAGGACCCCCTTAAGGGTCAGTTTCCCCCCCCCCCCCCCCCCCATAGGTGCATACAACCTCAGCACTGGGAAGTTGGTCTGGAAGGAGGTGACGCAGCGACCACCCAACAATGCACCTGCCGTGGGCAAGGTGAAGAATCTGCCTGGCATGTCGGTCGCTTCGTCGCCCTTCGTGGTACCCTTTGCCCCTTTTTTTGGGTTCAGGGCTCCCTTATGAAGTAACCAACCCCCAAAAAGGGGTGGCCTTTTGTGAGAAGATGGTTACTGGGCTACTTCAAGGTGGTCATGCCCCTGTGTGAGCAAGTGCTTCAGGGAGCACACTGCGACGTCCACGTCTACAACGCAGACACGGGGGCCTTGCGGTGGGTCTTCCACGGGCCAGCCCAGAAGGGAATTCTGCAGGCTGGGGACTCGGAAGGTCAGACCGACCGCTCGTTCCTTGACTGAGGCTAAAAAATTGCCACCTTGTGAATGACCTTCTAGGAATGCGCAGTCCGCAAGTTGTTTGAGGTACATGGGCATCCGCACCCTCTGCCTACCCAACGGCTGGAGCGCGCCCACGATCGACGCCGATGGGACGGTGTTTGTCGGACACGAGGATGCGTGGCAGCCCAGTAGGTTACCGTTTACCGTTTTGTCCGTTCTAGGTTCCCTTGTCAAGTAGCCATCCAAAGAAAAGGATACCGAAACCTTAAACTCCCCAAAGCCCTAAGCCCTCAACCCTTATGACAATACGGCTGCTTTGCCTACCGCAAGGACGGAAACTTCTACGCCCTTCGTGACATGGACGGTGACGGCGCGATCTTTGGGGATGATGAGGTGCAGCTTTATGACGCCTTGGACGGTGACGTAGTAAGGGGTGGAGGGTTTAGGGTTTAGGGTTTAGGGTTTAGGGTTTAGGGTTTAGGGTTTAGGGTTTAGGGTTTAGGGTTTAGGGTTTGGAATTGGCCCTGGATCCCGCTATTGTGGGGCTTAGGATCCCTTGGGGTTTAGGGTTTAGGGTTTGGGGTTTAGGGTTTAGGGTTTAGGGTTTAGGGTTTAGGGTTTAGGGTTCAGGGTTTAGGGGTTGAGTTGAGAGGATGCCCCTTTTCTTCCTATAGGATGGTGTGGGACCTAGGACACCTATGCCGCATTCTCGGGATCGTCTGCCCCGGCTGTGGGTCCTGGCATCATGGCGATCGCTTCCTGCGATTCGCTCTTCGTGTTCAAGTGAGGATCCCACTGGCGTCACCCTCCATGTTTGGTCAGCACTTCATTTCACTTCGGAAAAGAGAGTCCTAACCCTAAACCCTGAACCCTAAACCCTAAACCCTAAGCCCTAAACCCTAAACCCTAAACCCTAAACCCTAAGCCTAAACCCTAAACCCTGAACCCTGCTGAGTGCGTTTGGGGCGCACGTGGCGGCTTCGAATCGAGAAGTGCAAAAGCGGCGGTATTCGGTGTCCTGATTATAGGGGGATCCTAGGGTTTAGGGTTTCGGGTTTAGGGTTTAGGGTTTCGGGTTTAGGGCAGCCGTCGCAAGCATGAACATATTTGTGTGTCGAAGGTCACCGGTCACCCTCAAAATCGCTCCACAGGCCCATAGTCCCCGAAAATCCCGCGGCATCAGTTCCGTATCCTCCATGGAAAAGCTGCACAGTTTCGGGTTCAAGGGAGGACGGGGTCGGCGGATACCCTTTTGAGGGTCTTTAGTTTTTTGAATCTTGGGGCCGATCCCTGAAAGCTTTGCCCCAAGGGGAAGAATGTACGCCCGCGTTGGGGTCCGAGTATTCACTTTATGAGGTAGGGCTTTCACTACTGTAAATGTGGTGAGTGTATGTTAGGGTTACTTAGAACATTGTTGAGTGTTTGTATGGGCGTCCTTCTGCAATAGCAAACCTACACGTTAACATGAGTTCTTGGGGAACCTAAAGTGTGTGACTCCCCCCACCCGGTTGCAAGAGCCCTAAACCCCCAAACCACCGAAGCCCTTATTCCTTTGAGCTTTGTAGGGCTGAGGCTTGACACCCTGCGCCTTAATGCCAAACCCTAAACCCTAAACCCTAGCCCTAAACCCTAAACCCTAAACCCTAAAATAGGCACGGATTGAAATCTATCCGACGCCGTGCCCGGCTTGGGTTTCTTGGTCTCAAGTAGCTTGCCAACTGCTTTCCGCCGCGCACCCACCGCAGACGAGGCCTTTTGCTTACAAGAAGAGCTACCCTAAGCCCCTGCACCCTTGTAAATCTTAAACCCTGAACCCGAAACCCTAAACCCTAAACCCTGAACCCTGAACCCTGCAGGTTTCTTGGGGCTTTAGAGTTTTTTCGGTTCCGGGCTTCATCCAACTTTAACCCAGGGCATCGGCGCCGGGCACCCCTAAACGCCGCAACCCTATGCCCGACCCCTAGAATCAAAATGAAGCGCAAGTAGGGTTTAGGGTTTAGGGTTGAGGGTTTAGGGTTTAGGGTTAAGGGTTTAGGGTTTCGGGTTTAGGGTTTAGCCTCAACAAATCCCTATAAAGCCGCTGTACATGGAATCATGTTTGTAATCCCTCTGTAAACTTTGCACAGAAGCCGCAAGAGGTCCATCGGCACAATCCTCATGCAACAGAATTTTGTTCTTATCCGTTTGTAGCTCTCACAATAAGGCTCCTTCCGTACTCCATAAGCCGCCTGATGTACTCCCTCCATCATCTTGCTAGACTCATTGCAACCCTCGAGCCCTAAGACCCTCACATGGGGGTTTTACGAAAATAGGGGGACCCCTAAACTAGACCCCAAGTTGTAGGATTCCCTTATACTAAGGACCCCAAAAAGAGTACCCCTGTTCTCGGAAGCCCCCACAATATCACCAGCCTGTGAGAGAGGCGCCATGACGTCGATGAGCTTGAGCAAGAAGACCGTGAGTGACCTGGACGCCCCCCGGCTCAGCGTGTGCAGGGCTTCGGGTTGAGGACTTCTGGGCTGCAGGTGCCCCTAAGCCCTAAACCCTAAACCCTAAACCCTAAACCCTAAACCCTGAACCCGGCTCTTTTGGGAACATAAGCTTCTTGCGGCCGGTGGCTTCGGACGGACAAGGCGGCTGAACCTCGAAGCCCGAATCCTGAGCACCAGGGCCACCCCCCAAATCCTGACACCCCAAACCCTAAACCCTAAACCCCAAACTCTAAACCCTGAACCCCAAACCCTAAACCCTAAACCCCAAAGCTCAATTCCTACACCCTCAGGTCAAAGACAAGCGCGTCCTGATGAGGGTGGACTTCAATGTGCCGGCAGCCAAGGAAGATGCAGGGAGGCTAGGTTTCAGGGCTTAGAGCTTAGGGCTTGGGGTTTGGGGTTTAGGGCTTAGGGTTTAGGGCTTATTATAGGGCTTATAGGGCTTATAGGGCTTATTGGGCTTATAGGGCTTATAGGGCTTATTGGGCTTATAGGGCTTAAGGGGCTTATTGGGCTTAGAGGGCTTAAGGGGCTTATAGGGCTTATAGGGCTTATAGGGGGGCTCATAGGGCTTATAGGGTTTCGGGTTTCTGGCTTCGGGTTGGGTCTCAGGGGCTTCGACTCGCCAGCTCTGAACCCTGAGCTTCAAAACCGCATCAATCACAGAAGCCTTGATTCTTAAGCCTTGCAAGTTCTAGGGTTTAGGGCTTAGGGTTTAGGATTTTTGGGTTTGGGGTTTAGGGTTTCGGGTTTAGGGTTTAAGAGCAATCTTCAACTCCCTAAAGGCCCTAAGCCCTTAGCAGGGGAGTCGTGAACCCCCTAAACCCTGGCACCCTGGCACCCGGGACAAATGCCCAGGCCCATGGACAAGGAAGGCAACATCACCAACACGCAGCGCATCGTCTTTGCCTCAAGGGTTGGCGGGGTTAGGGTTTAGGGTTTAGGGTTTAGGGTTTTTGTTCTTCGGGGCTCTTAATCGCTCACCTCTTCATTCTGCGACAGCACGGAAAATCCCGAACCGCTATTGCACAGGGAAGAGCCCAATACCGATCATTTGAGGAATCTACTTCCCCTATGCAATTCTAAGGTCTTGGGCCTGGTAGGGTTTAGGGTTTAGGATTTGGGGGTTAGGGTTTAGGATTTGGGGGTTTAGGGTTTAGGGTAATCCGGCCGGCACCATGAAGCCTTGTGTGCCCTGTGCACCCACTGGCTACTTTGTAGCCCCCCCCCCCGCCTCTCCAATAGCAACAGCAGATGCTCCCCTCCTGGAGGAGCCACCAAGAAGGGTCCCTGAGCCCTCGAAACCCCCCCCATGTGGATTAGGGGTCTTCTTGTGTCTCTTTTGAGTGGTGAGTGCATGAAGGGTTCCTGATAACTAGTTGTGATCTTGGCTGTCATTTTTGGGGGGTTCTAGTATCAGAAAGCCTGCTTTACGTGTTGCAAGGCAGGCCGCTCAAAGCTCACAGTGGGTGTTGTTGCACATTCGGGCGCGTTTAGGCTTTAAGGTTTAGGGTTTCAAGTTGGGTTTTATTTTACGCCTCCGAAGTCATTCGAAAGGAAGTTGTTTCAGGCCCACGTATACCCTTTTTAGGTGCAAGGGGAGGAGATGCTGTTGCTGTGGCCCCAACCCCCAACCCCCAACCCCCAACCCCCAACCCCAAACCCCAAACCCCAAACCCCAAACCCCAAACCCCAAACCCCAAACCCCAAACCCCAAACCCCAAACCCCAAACCCCAAACCCCAAAAACCCCAAACCCCAAACCCCAAACCCCAAACCCCAAACCCCAAACCCCAAACCCCAAACCCCAAACCCCAAACCCCAAACCCTAAACCCTAAACCCTGAACCCTAAACCCTAAACCCTAAACCCTAAGCCCAGGCTGGCGCTATTCCCACCATCAAGGTGGCCCTGGATAAGGGCGCCAAGAGCGTGGTTCTGATGAGCCCTGGCCTCAGGGTGTGGCGGGTCAGGGTTTAGGGTTGTTTAGGGTTTAGGGTTTAGGGTTTAGGGTTTAGGGTTTAGGGCTTAGGGCTCGGCTTTCGGCTTTCGGTGCTATAGACTCCATGAGTCGGACGCAGCGTACTATACACATGCTACCAAGAATAGCCTACGAGCTACTGAATTAAGTGTGCAACGCAGCGCTAGCCTCCAACCAGCGTGCGACCGCAGGAGAGTGCCACCCTTGACTGAGTCGCTCCGCGAACTCAGCCGAGTCAACAATTTCGTTAGCGATCTCCTCCAGAGGTCTAGCTAACGGAAGCAGCGGTCCAGACAACCGAACTGCAGGGAGGGACTGACACAACTCCGAGTCCTTAAGAGGCACAAAACCAGTCGACCTAAAGTCATGCTCGACCATACGAGTCAGGCAGACTGTGCTGTCATGCTGTAAATGCCTGCAAAGACGGCGGTTCGTCCAAAATTGGGTAAGGCACACAGAGCAAGCGGTCCCTGCGGCATATTCCGATGCCTGGCAACGCAGACGGTGTTGTGCAAACAAGTGCGCAGACAGAGTTTGCTTAGTCGGGAACCGCCGTGAGCATTGGTGGCACGCAAAGGGGCATTCGCGCAACGGGCCTTCCTCCTCGCCCTTTTGCCAGAGCGGCTCGTGCGTGCCCTTGTCAACGCTGCGCAAGGCCTTTTTGACCGCAGAGCGTATCGCCACTGGCTGCTCAACAGCCCAGCGGAGTGCGCCGTTGGGGAAGTCCTCGATCGCCCAGGCAGGAACCCGCGCGTTCAGCGCCAGCCAGTCAAGGTCCTGCCGCAGGAGGCTCAGCCACGCCACATCGCCAAAGGCTAGGTCGGCCCGCATCAATGCGTAGAGGGTGTGGTGCCCTGGGACGATGCGACTGAAATGTAGCAAGCGCTGTCCACGCAGGAACGCAACAGGCGATGGGCAGCCAAAGTGGCGGCAGACCGCGGCTTCTCCTGGGAGTGAAGGCTTGCCAGTCCAACGGTCATCCCTGCCCAGTAGTCGATGCATAGTGGTGTACCCTTTCCTCCATGCATCCCGTTCATGAATGGTCATGGGCCCCCATGTCGCGGAGGTGCAGCAGGCTGCCGTTAGTGCAAGGGACTGCAGACAAAGCTTCCGCGACTCCAAAGGGATCAGGGGGTTTCGGAGGAAGGGGCGCGCAAGGGGCTTGATTTGGCGCAGTCCGGAGGCAATATGCTGGACGACATCTGCGAGGACGCTTGGTCGGTCCTCTATGCGACCACCAAGATGCAAGTAGGAACGGACACAGCCAACCACAATTTGCCTCTGCTCCTTATCAAGGAAACACAGGGTGCCCCCGT